TGTAACGTGCTGCTCTCCTTCCCACTGCCTGTGCTTCTCTCCTTTCTCTTAACAGTAAGAAAGAACATCTTAATTAGTAACTGTAACTGAAGTGCTCTTGATACTGTATTATATTGAATAGAGATTATGGGATTAATTGGCAACTTCCATGATTGCAGTGGGAAAAAGAAGAGGCCTTGGCAGACCTTCCTTTAATGTAAATTTATAGGGAGCCTAATCCCGCAACTCTTGAATATACCAAACCCCAATTGATTTCAATGGGACTTATGAATGCATAAAAGCAACAGTATTGGATCATAAAAGTCCTCCATTAATGATTGCTCTCCTAACAGTTTTAACCAGATTATCATAATTATTTTCATCAGTGGGAACTTCACAGTGATAAATAGATCCACAACTTGCTGGTTTATGTAAAAAATTAAATGCAGCAAAAAACAATTAGTCAACAAAAATAAGTTATATTAGAAAGTGCCTTATTGAACCTACTGTTGGAAGATCATTAATACTTTTAGGTCTTCTCTATAGCTATGTCTAGACTGCAAGCCTCTTTCGAAAAAAGCCTCTTTTGGAAAAGAGAGTCTAGACTACAACCAGTACTTTCGAAAAAGCAAGCTGGTTTTTTGAAAGAGAGCTCCCAGGCAGTCTGGATGCTCTCTTTCTAAAAAGTACTGTTTGCATTACTTAGTGCCTTTTTTCAAAAGAGCACTTTTGAAAAAAGGCGTTCTTCCTCGTAAAAAAAGGTTTTCTATGGTCAAAAAAACTGCTGTGTCCTTTCAGTTTACTATCGAAAGAACATGGCAGCTGTCTAGATGCAGGGGAAGGTTTTCTTTGAAAAAAAGCCACTATTTTCGAAGAAATGCTGTAGTCTAGACACACCCTATGTGTTCCATTCCATCTATTGCGAGGGTCTGACTGTGTTACCACTATAAGTTTTCTTATATGATAGTCCTTCCAGTACAAACCATTAATCTTTACAATAATAAATTGTCAGTCTGATTCTTATCTTCTTTCCTCTTTTTACCTGTGTAATTTTGTTCATCTTTGCTAAAAACTCTCATCAGTTTTTGCTATGAAATTGCTAACTGCATGCTTCCAACTTGATGCTAAATGTTATTGCCAGCTGTCTCTTATAGCACTATTGGGGCATTTCAGACCTGTAATGAGGAGAGTATGAAGCAGGGGGAAGTTGTGTGGATGAGTAAAGTGGAATAAGAATAAGTTCTCTTTTTTTGGTTCATGGTGTGAACTATTTTTTAAACAAAAAAAGTGTCTGCATTCTGAAATGCATCTTAGGTCTGAAAAATATGACTCATCAAAACTAAAGTAAAATATGTAGGCACCAGAACAGGTCAACAGTAAGACAAGTGCCATCTAGCAATGGCAGCTCAGTCACAGGCTACCAGTAGTGTTGGTAGTGACATAGCAGTCAACCCCAATGTCCATTTCAGTATCATTCCACATGCCTTCACTGGCACTGGCCCAATTCTGCATGGTGTTGTGAGTGAAAGATGCTGAGCATTCTCAACTTCTACTCACTTTAAAGAATATTTGTGATGGGGATCTATATACCCCCCACACACACACACACACACAAACACACAAAATAGGAAGGGGCTAAAAATCCTCCCTACCTATAGATAGAAATATCAGTGATGGAGAAAAATACCCTTAGTTTCTTCAGAGAAAGTATAAGAGGTAGAAACAGGAAAAGAGGGGTCAGATGAGTTTGGGATATCAAGAGAAGAGTGAGAGAGGAGCTAGCATCAGGTTGTCTTTGAGAGCCTGGGAACCCTCTGAGATACATCTACACTGCATCTGAGAGCAAGCCTCCCAGCCCAGGTCCACAGATTTGTGTTAGCAGGCTTGCGCTAGCACTCGAAGAACAGCCATGTAGACTTTATAGCTCCGACAAGTTCTCTCAAGGCCAATAACTTTCCCCACTGTAATGTGGCTTCAGAGCCCCAAGCTCCAGCCTACCAAGCTACTTTCAGAGAGCTAGTGCAAGTCTCATTCCCAGATGCAGTGTAGTGCTGCCCCTGGCATTCAGGAAAGGGAACTGAAAACAGAAACCCAGGACTTTTTTAATCGTTTTTATTTCTGGACTTTAATTTCTGTTGATTTGATTTAAGCAGCCATTTCCCAGGTCAAGGGCTGATCTACACTACTCAAACTAAGACAATCCACAAAGTGGTATCAATTTCCACTGATGGGATTAAAGAGCTGAGTACCTCTGATAAGTGCTCGACACCACCTTGCAGAATTGGCCATATCAGCCAAGTAGAAGTCATCATGGGACACATTCTTAACTGACTTACATCCAATCCAACCACAGTGAAGTCAGTCTAGAGCAGCGGTGCACGACCTGTGGGCCACGACGGGGGTCACGGATGTCTTCCTGGGGGTCTCAGCACTTAGATTCCGCCGGCCGATGACTGGGTGCAGCCGCATGGCACAGAGGTTAGATCTAGCTGGCCGGGGACTGGGCCAGGCAGTTTGGCGGTCCCTGTGGCGCAGAGCCTAGATCTAGCCAGCTGGGGGCAGTGGCTAGCAGTTGCTGGTCCCTGCAGCATGGGGGTCGCAGATCAAAAAAGGTTGAGCACCACTGGTCGAGAGCAAGATTCGGCCCTACAAACAGTGTTGGTAATTTTTGTTCAGAAAAAAAAATGTATGCAGCTAAGTGGTGGGGAAAGGGAACAAAGATTAAGAACAATTATGTTGATACTGCTGTTATGCTTAAAACCAAGCAAACATAAAAAGGGAGAATCCAACATTTCCTGCGGTGATAATTATCTCTTCCATTTTAAGATAAGTTATTTAGAAAATAAAATTTAATGAGAAAACAATTCAGTGCTTGGAACACCCATTAAGATTCTGCTCTCATATCACTTTTCTGAGAGAGCACTGATGTTTGGGAAAAAAACCATAGAACTTTCTAAGGCTTTCTTTCTCTTTTTTTTCTTAATAAGACTAAATCAGCTGTTATTTACTTTGTGCCAGAAAGACAGAAAGACAGAAAAAAATATAGACTGACATAAAGATTATGTCTAGACTACATCCGTCTTTCTAAAGAGGGATGAAAATTAGACAGATCGAAATTGCAAATGAGGCCGGGATTTTAATTTCCCCCACTTCCTTTAAATAATGACATCTGCGTGTTATTTCGAAAATGGGTATTTCAAAAGTGAAACCTCTGTCTAGATGCAGTTCTTTAAAAAAAACCCTCCTTTTTCAAAAGATCCTGCAAACCTCATTTTTGAGGAGTACAGGAGCTTTCAAAAAATGTTTTTTTCCAAAAGAACCATGTCTAGACAGCAGTTTCACTTTCGAAATAACCCATTTTTGAAAGAACGCATGGCTGCCATTATGCAAACGAAGCATGGGAAATTCAAATCCTGGCTTCATTTGCAATTTTGATCTGTCTAATTTACATCCCTCTTTTGAAAGAGGGATGTAGTTTAGACATGCCCAAAGACTTAGGAAGTTCTAAATATTGTCGGTACTAATTTCCTTCAAAATGAAAACATACCATAAAGTATACTATGAAGCTTCTCTCATGTGTATGGTATTCACTGCTGAGCAATGCAGCTCTTGATCAGAATGTGTTTCAAAAAGCCTCTCATTCAGACTGGCAAAATGCACACTCAACACAACAGTATCAGACTATCTAGTCTAACAGTAACTTGTAAAGTATCTCATGAAAATTGGTGACACGCTGGTCACAATTATTGTGTGTCATGCAAGCAGGGCCTGAATGAATGCTTCCCTGACAGGGGGAGAGATTTGGATGGAATATGGAAGTACAGTTTGCTTACATGTTCAACAAATGCCATGGTGTCAAAGTGTGGCTTTCGCTGGTGTTGGGTACAAAATCACCTCAGTACTCAATGCAGTTGTAGTGAAATGTGATCATCAGTGTTGTAATTATTGTGGGATAACAGAGAAGCAGGACTATGCTTAAGTTGTCCCAAGTGAGTGGGGCCATCCTCAGTTGAAAGAACCTCATTAAGTCAGGGGCTCAAATGTCATTGCCCTAAGAAAGTAAGAGTGGAAATAGGTATCTTAGCCAGGAGGCTGAAGAAAGAAAGAAAGAAAGAAAGAAAGAAAGAAAGAAAGAAAGAAAGAAAGAAAGAAAGAAAGAAAGAAATAGGAAGTTCTTTTTACTCTTGATTTGTCTTTATGAACCCTGTTTGAAGTGTTTTCCAAAATTACCTCCCTCCTTTTATTAAGCTTTTTTTCCCCCTACACTCAGAGTCTGTGCTTGTGAGAGGGGAAGTGTTGTTTCAATGGAAAGGAACCCCTGGATATTGAACCTGGCCAAGGTTGCTACTGGCTTCACATGGCAGAAGGTTATATTTTAGTTATATTAGGCTTACAGGAATGTTATTTTACCTGTTTCTTTGTGTCTCCAATACAAACTGAACAAGGTGAAGCTGAAAACAACAGAGGTACCTTTAAAGCTCATGTAAACAAAGTGATCCAGAGAAGCAAATTAATCAGAGTGAGAGGGCATGGCACCTACACAAGCAACAGTAGAGAAAATATCCAAGGATACACTTCAAAGGCATATATTTCAAAGGGTCACTAGACTATAAAAGAAGGGAAGCAAACCCATCAGTTATCCATTGCTTAGATAAGACAGATTACAAACCCCTCTGAGCCTGTGAATGGTGGATCTTCTTGTCTTGAGGAGCAAAGTGCTGCCAATTGTTTGAGAAAAGTGAAAAATTGTTTTAGGTAAAGATATTGCTTGTTAGAATTAAGTTTTAGGAACTGGAAAGCAAGTCATCAAAGTCTGGTTTCCATTGCTTTTCTCTCTCATACTTGCTTGGTATCACTAAAATCTATATTCTTTATTAAGAAACGTTCTTATTTTATTACAAAATGATCTCAGTGCTGTTATTATATAAGTAAGTGAGTCCTCGGTTAAGCCAGTTGACTGGTGTGTGCTGTGCTCTTTGGAGGTAAAGCAATGGAGTTTGCTGAGTGTCTGGGGACTCACACTGCAGAGAGATCTCTCTAGGGAACTCAGGGTTCACTGGCTGTTACATGCACAGCAAGGTTCAGACTGACAGAGCCTTGAAGAGTCTGGTGGAAGGCAGACAGAATGCAGTGTCAGGCAGTGGGCATACAGTTCAGCTGCAGCAAAGCTCACACTGCTGAGACAGACGGGTAACAGAGTGGCTTACAGTTCTGGGTTCCCAGAGGAGAGCAACATGCCTAGTCTGAGAGGTACGGATTTTAGCTTTTGTTTGAAATAAAGTTTCATGCTGGGGTTGTAATTTCAGGGTGCAGATAGAGAGAGGATCCAGCAACAGCACACTTGTTTAAACATGAGAAATCCTGGTTTCACTGAAATCAATGATAATTTTGGCATTGATTTCAATGGAGCCAGGATTTCATCCATTATTTTTACTGCATTAATGTTACCCTGTGTAATTCAATGCTTATGTCAACATAGCTATAATAACCAGGAGTAAACTCCTTTCCAATGAGACAAAGCGGGAACTGATAAGGAGAGGATTACATCCTTAGCTAATAGCCCACCACTGTACAACTACATATCAAAGATCAAAGAAAATCAACTTTTTCACCTAAGCTCTGCCTGGCTAATGAAAACAGAGAAGGAAGAAGAAAGAAGAACTAAAAAACCTTGTAAACCAATTAAACCTTTGATTTAAGAAATGTGTTAATTCTGTGCCAGAACCTAGAGATTGAGGGGAACACAGAAGAAATGCAGGTGGAGATCAACTGCAAAGCAGTTTATAATTTGCTTCACCTGAACAGAAATTACATCTAAGGTTCACAATGGCAATGAAATGTCCGAGAGAGAGAAAGAAGAGAAAATGGCAAAGCATAATGGAAGGAGCAAGGGAAAATTATACAAATCCTTCTTCAGAAATTGTCCTGGGGAGATTAGATTGGTGGGGTTCAAACAGAAAAAAACATCTTGGATTCACTGCTCAAGAATCTGTTCTAAGAAACACCAGTGTGAATCTAGAATAACTACTGCTCTTTGAGATCAGGATCTGCTCCCCTCATTTCTTGCTCCTATTGCAAGGTTTGAATCTGTTTAAATCTACACTGAGATCAATAGGATAAGAGAGAGGGATGTGTGATCAGAGGCAAGGTGGGGTTACTAACTACCCAGGGAAGGGCAGCAGCAGCGAGGCCAATAGTATTGCTGGTTCCTGGGCAAGGGGGAGGGGCTACTCCGTGCCTCCAGAAGGGGCAGGGCTGGGGCTCAGCACCCCTCAGTGCTGCCTCCCAGAGAGCATCACAGTGCCTACCCCCGGCAGCCCTCAGTGCTGCCTAGAGCATGCAGCGTGACTCTCCAGCAGTGATTTAAAGGGCTTGGGGTTCTGGCTACTGCTGCTGCCATAGCAGTGGTAGCCATGAGCTCCAGGCCTTTTTGTATCGCTGGGCCCCAGGACAGTTACCCCCATTGCCATCGGTGGGCCTGTAGGGCAGTGTTGGTACTATGTAAGCAAAGCAGTGATGGTTTGGCTGGGATCAGTGCTCAGAGACCTAGGAGAAGAGCATTTCTCTAAAAGCTTGCTGAGGAACTGAGTTTGAAACTGATGGCAGTAAGGGAGTGCAGGTCAAGTGAGGTTTTTATTTTACATCCCCCCCCCTTTTTTTTTCCCAGACAGGAGCAATTTTGAGAATAAGGCAGGGAAAAATCTGTATGTGTCATCTAAATACCACACCACTTGTTCTTTTTACAGGGCTCAATAAAGGATAATGTGTCCTACGGGCAAAATATTTTACAAAGGCTTTTTCCAGGCTAAATTTATGAACCATGCTAATTAGCAGGGAGACGTTAGAAGCATATAGACAACAGAGGCAGAAGATACAGACCCAAACATGGCTCTTTCTGAACAAAGCCACTGGAGACTCAAATGTGATCAGAAAAAAATTCATGACCCTAGCGCTAGAGTTCTTAGAGCATCCTGGGTTCAGTGAGGAGGAAGAAGTTTGGGCAATGGCAAACGTAACAGAGTCTACCTAATCCTCAGATATCCTGAGATCTGTGCATAAATCCTGTGAATGTAAAAGTTTCCTTGGAAGCCCATGGCTAATGCACGTAAATCCAGTCTCCATCTGGCTAGCATTTCTGAAACCTCTCTATCCTTGCATGGCAGCACACCTCCCTGAAGAGACTTGAGATACTTCTATATGACAATTCAAGGTGCGACTGCCACTTCGACCTACCTACATGAAACAAGGATAGCAGTGAAACCACAGTACCAGGGGGACTGGCTCAGGTATGTCTCTATTTGCTGTAGTCACAATTCTGATTGCAGTGTAAACATACCCTTGGGCTCCCCACTCCAAACCCTGTCCTCAGAGGGACTTGATCACAGGTAGTGGGCTTTCAGGTAAGTTAATCAATTTATATGTTACTTGCACTCAATGCCTGCCACCTAAGGCTCTCAAAACATTGTACTGAGGTGTATGCACCCCATTTTACAGAAACAGAGAGGAATAAAATTAATTGGACTAAGCTAAACAGGGAGTCAACGAGAGCATGTGTGACAGAACTCGGTGTTCTGACTCCTAGCCTGAAGCATATACAAGCTTGGATGATTACTAGAGGAGGTGGGAGAGACTTTGCCATTTGGCTTCTTTTATCGCCTGTGGGATATATGGGAGTAGATGATTCAGTTTATGGAGATGAAAATGTAAATATGCTATTAGAAAGCAAAAGCACGTTTGTCAGATTTTTGCACTTTAAATCAAAAGCTTTTCAAGGATCAAGAACAAAGAGTGTGTTACCATGCTGAACATTTGCTCCCTCTGTAGCTAAGAGAAACTGTTCATCAACATGCTATAAAGTAAACATTCTTTTTCAGGGCTGGATTTCCTACACAAATACTGTAACTATATAATTCATGAAATTGGATTTCCTCTAAGTGTATGTCTACACAGCAGAGCTAACAGTCGAATTAAGCTACACAACTTCAGCTACGTCAATTGCACAACTTAAGTTGCAATAGCTTAATCCGGACTTCCTGCTGTGTACACAGCGCCAAAAGCAGAGAAAGAGCAGTCTGAGGGTATGTCTACACTACCCTCCTAATTCGAACTAGGAGGGTAATGTAGGCATACCGCACTTGCAAATGAAGCCCGGGATTTGAATTTCCCGGGCTTCATTTGCATAAGCCGGGCGCCGCCATTTTTAAATCCCGGCTAGTTCAGTAGCTAGTTCGGATTATGCTTCCTAATCCGAACTAGCTGTACTCCTTGTGGAATGAGAAGTACAGCTAGTTCGGATTAGGAAGCCTAATCCAAACTAGCTACTCCGTGCCGCGTGTAGCCGCGCGGCACAGGGTTCGAACTGCCGGCATTTAAAAATGGCGCCTGCCGGCTTCATTTGCAAGTGCGATATGCCTACATTACCCTCCTAGTTTGAATTAGGAGGGTAGTGTAGACATACCCTCACTTCCCTTACTCCTCGTACAATGAGGATTACAGGAGTCAAAGTAAGAAGCCCTCCAGTTCAACAGTATTTCAACATTATGTCAAAATAAATGCTTGTACTGTAGACGCAGACTATGTTATTTCAGAATAATGTTAGTTATTGCAAAATAATGCTGATAGGTAGACATAGCCTAAATGCTTATGGTACAGTATGTGATTATTGCAAAATAATGCTGATACGTAGACATAGCCTAAATGCTTATGGTACAGTATGTGGATGTGTAACAAACATGTGTAAATAATCATACTACCTGTTAGAAATAATCTTTGAAATTGGAAATAAAAAGCAAAGAAAGCGTCCAGCAACTCCCTTCAGTCCTCAAACAGTTATTAATCACTTTAGGACAAAACTCTTTCTTTAAAGCACCTAAAAATTCATAGGGTGGTTAGTGACAACATTAGAATAGAGGCATATTGAAAATGGAAATATAGAATTTACAGAAAACATTAACAGGTCATATAGTTGCCAGAAGGCAAAACCTCTTTACAAAGCAATTAAAAAACTCATTAATTTAATATTTATTTTCATTACCTATTAGAAAAGTATCTAGACATAGCAAACCAAATTATTACATAAACTGAAATGGATTTTTAGAAAATGTAGTTTTGGGCACATTCACATCAGTTCTTATAAACAGCAGAGCAGATCTGTTTTCCAGACTCTTTTGTTCTGATGAAACAAAATTTAATCAGTTTCATAAATAAAGATATTTCCTTTCATGAATATTTTGTTCGATGAGAAAATTATAAATTGGTGGGGAAAGAGGAGCCTTGCTGATTAAAAGCCCCCCAAAGACTGGTGCCCTAGGAAATGCATTCCAGTTTGATTTGAAGAGGTCTGGAATTGGTTGTACATAAATATTTTCACTCCACCAACAAAAAGAATGCTAAAGCGTGGAGTCATTCTTTTGACAATCACAATTTTTCTTAAAACTATGGAATTAAAGCTATAAAACAGGCTTAACCCAATCAGTGGAAAACTGTCTGACGAAAGTCTCACTAAGGGGGACGGAGTTTTAAAAAGCCAGTAAAACTTATTATACCTTAGTTCAAATAACTTGCAAGCCAACATACTATAGATTTAGATTCCATCTCAGTACATTTGATTTACTTATGTTTTCAACAGGAAGACAAGTAATACCAGCATAAAACTTTATTCCAAAGCTGTGACCTTGACTTTTACCAAAAGTTCAACTGCAGGAATATTGTGTTGGAGAAGAAATGAAGAAAGAAGGGAGTTCTCAAAGATAATGAACTGCCAAATATAGCTTGTGAAATACTGCTGCTGTTTCAAATAGACAGTCTGATCTAATATGCGACAGGCAATTCAAAAACTATGATGAGGTCCATATGTGGCATACAGAGACTACAAAGCTTGAATTACTCATTTATTTATCTCATAAAGCAGAAGGCTTATGTAACAAAGACATCCCTAGTGCATTCCATGCAGAAATCATCTGTAGCAGGTAAAATGATAAAAGGCCAGGACTATAAATTAAATACCATATGTTGAAGGTACATGAGTATTCATGTATTTAAAACTGAAATTTAGATAAAGGTGAGGAAAAGAAAGTGCAAAAAGCAGAGCATCCATTTGGATAATGTTATCAAGTGCTCATGGGTGGCTACATTATTTTAAAATAATACACTGTGCTAAATATGCACATCAATATAAATATCTACAGGTGTTTTTTTTTTCTTTCAAACACAGCCAAGGCAAATTGCACATCATTTAGTACTTCTCTTCTCTGGACATATGTTGACATTTCAACTTAAAGCTATTTCTTGCCTGGCCAGATGAGAACATTGCCCATGAACAGATGGCCTTAAAACTATTACTACAATCTTCACAATTTCTGGACATTTTTGAAAGATTCAGAGCACATTTGGGATGACTTAGAAGAAAAGAAAAAATCCGGGGTCTGATTTTGCTCTTACTTGCACTTGTGTCATCACTTACACAGTGGGTATAAAATGCCATCGTTCTGACCTGTTATCATTTTATATCCACTTGTATGGGCGCAAGTGATGACTCAAGGTTCAAGTCAGTGGAGATCCAAGCCATCAGTTTTCATCCTTAAAAGACCTGTGGCTGTGAGATTAGGTGCTGGCAGGGGATGCTTTATGGAACTAGAATCTGACAAAGGAATTTAAAAACACAATGGGTGCATCTAAACTGGCAAGATTTTGCGCAAAAGCCCCTGATTTTGTGCAAAAACTTGCCAGCTGTCTACACTGGCCACTGGCTGTCTACACTGGTCACGCTACACTGGCCACTTGTAATGTACAAAATCAGTGCTTCTTGCGCAAATACTTTCACGCTCCTGCTCGGGAAAAAGCCCTCTTACGCAAGAAGTGTAGACAGGGAAGAACTGTTTTGCGCAAAAAAGCCCCAATGGCTAAAATGGCGATCGGGGCTTTCTTGCGCAAAATCGCATCTAGACTGGCCACGGATGCTTTTGCGCAAAAGCAAATCTTTTGCACAAAGGCACTTGCCAATCTAGATGTGCTTTTGTGGAAATACTTTTAACGGAAAAACTTTTCCGTTAAAAGTATTTCCGCAAAATCATGCCAGTCTAGACGCAGCCAATAAGTATGTGCTTAGGGCAGAATCATGGAAAGCATCACTTAAAACCCTGAGATACACTAAAATAAACATACAAGAACACTACTAAGAAGAATGTTTTTCTTCATTTATTTATCTTATGAGTAGAGCAAGAGGAAGATGGCCTAACTGAATTTGCACTATCTTCTAATAAATCAGCATTCATGACTGGATCATCCAAGAGCCACTGTAATGCAGTAAACAAAACTACAGGCATACATATGATGGATTAGGCAGAGGCTGACACTATAAATTGTCCAATGTAACAAAAATCCAGCTCAATTTACTATATAAAGCTGTTTATAAAATGAGAAAAGTTAGATACAGAAACACTGGTTGTATTTAAGTCAAACAAAAAACATAATAAAGGTTCTTCAATACTCTTAAAAAAGTCAAGTTGGCATAATAACAAGCTGAAAGTTTATCGAGTAATTTATATACTGAAAATACTGAAATCTGTCTGGTTTCAATCATTTCAGGTGGCTGCCCCACTCCTTTTTGTGGGATTTGTGTGTGTGTGTCTGTGTGTGTTTAATTCCTTTTTATGGGATGTGTGTGTGTGTGTGTGTGTGTGTGTGTTTAAACTTTTTTCTTTGTAGGAGGAAGAGATGACTGAAAAAAAAGCTCAAGAGAAACAGATGGCAGAGTAGCAGAGTAGACTAGAAGGAACAAACTTCACCATTCTGTTTGTAGCTGCTCTCACCATCTTTTGAGACTTCAGGATCATTATGATGCAACAGGGTGGTCAACATCTAAATCTGGAAGATTTTCAGGGCAAACCAAAGCACAGAAAGATAACTAGATGCCATATTCACTAATTTTGGCTAGATCTTGAAAAGATAAAACACAAACCTGAGGTTCCTACCATCGTCCTCTATTTCATATATACGCTTTCCTCACTATATTATTTCTCCTTTTCTGCCTTTCTGTTTTTCTTTTTGCCTAAAGAGAGTCTGGTTAATTTAGCCACAACAACAATACTTTTTGCAACACTGCTTTGAGCCTATAACCAGCGAGGCAAGGTAAAGACCACAACCTAACGCTGTTAAAAGTTTCCTAAGTCTTAGAGTAGCTGAAAAAAAAATGCATGTCTGTAGTTTCCCAGCATGTTTGCTTTAGGCGATCAGCATCAGAGACAGAAATTTCTATTTTTTGCAACCATCATGACTCCTTATGTGTGATTTTGCTTGTTTTCTCTACAAGGAAAGAGGATCTAACTTCTTCAACATAAACAGCAGCTCAAATCCATAGAAAGTAACTTCTTCTCATGTCCAGCCACCCCAACCAAAAGGTGAGATAATAACATATTTCACCACTTGCTAAAACAGATTGTCAAACAAGGATTTCATCCATAAAATAATTTGTATAGCTAAAGGGAAATGGAATATTTATTCCCTTGGAAATTGTTAAAATGAAAGCCTTACTAAACTCTTTTCATTTCAAATGCTATTTCCCTTCTTTTTATATGTGCTTAATAAAGAGTTGTAATTATGTTATGACTCTGAAGCAATTATTAGACAGAGACTTCAAACCCCACATAACTGTTTAGTGTTGTAACAAAAAGAAGTTACTCAACATGTTCAGGGTTTTGAACACTGGGTTCCCCAATAAGAAGCAACAAGACAATAAGGCCATGTCTACACTAGGAAACTTTCAAAATAATGAATTTGACTTAACTCCTGATTTTACAATATTGAAATAGTGTGTCCCCAATATGGGGAAGCCTTGAAATTTGCCCCAGGCTGGCTCCATTTATGAGAATGTGCTATCTCAACTTAGAATCCTAGGAAGCACTGGGGAGTAATTACTTCAAATTACTCCGGGGAGTCATTATTTTGAAAGAGAGGCACCAGAGCATCCATACTACTGCTATTTGGAAATAACTATTTCAAAATTAGCATTATTCTCCAAGAAAAGTGGGAGTACAGATTTTGAAATAAGCAGCCCATCATTTTGTATCCCTTTTAGGAGTCTGATTTGTCTCACATATCCTCAAGTTATACTTACTTACTTGATTACAAAATCAGACATAAAAATACAAACATGTCACAGGTTACAGCACGTAATTTCTGAGAAATGGCTTATTCTCTCTTTTTACCATATTACAAAACAAATCAATTGGAATATAAATATTGTACTTACCCTTCAGTATGTAGGACAGAGAAGTATAAACAACTCACTGTAAGAAATTTTAGTTTGTACTGAGTTCACTAGTGCTTTTAATGTAGCCTTTTATAAAACTAGGCTAATATCTAGCTGTGTTTATGTAACCTCTGGAATATCCTTGCACACTCCTCTGGGTACTTGTAGTAGTAGTTGAGAACTACTGGTCTAATCTGTCTCTGATAACTGAATAGATCTTTTCAAGCCAGTCTTGGAAGCACCAAAAGTGTAATCTTGCATGAACAACAAAGGTAAAAGCAGACATTTGATCCAGGATTGTTAGACAATTTCTTCCTGAGGTACAAGAGCTATCTTGAATGGTCCTGACCAGATTTCAATCTGTTATGAATCTGTCTGAGGTGAAGTAGGCCCTGGCTATCAACAAATCTAAGGATACTCTGACGAACGGCATTTTCTCTTCAAGACATTAATTGATATGCTACATAGTGTTACACTGATCTGAAGAACCAATTTCAGGAAAAGAGAAAGGATTATCTGAGAGGTTCAAGCACCTTTGGTCCTTATCATTTTGGATAATCTTGGAGTAGTGTTGCTTACCCTGTTTGTTCATTGAATCCATCCTAGAAAATTATGTACGGGTGGGACAAAGAGAAAAACAATTTGGAGTCTGGAAGAGACATATTTTTATCCACCTATTTGCAAGTTGGAAGAACTGTGGTAAGTGTTTGCTGAACAGTCCTTGCTGAGTCCAGAAGCACTTCATTAATAGAGAACACAACTTTATATAGTGCTGCTGATTGTAAAATGTCAAGCAGCTTGTGTTGCAAATCTCTGACCTTTTGAAGAAACCTGCCACCCATTTTGTGAGATCCTGAAATAGTCAGAAATTGTGGGACATGATGATACAGACAGTGTCTGAGGGGGCAGCTTCCTTATCACCCCAAAATTTGTGGTCCTGAAACATCTCCTTATGGTGGGATCTCAGCTGAGGAGGGGATTGAATGTCTCTATCTTCCCACTATGTCGTAGTAAATAGTCTGGCAAATTATTGTCTGTACATAGCCCAGGGATCCCAATATGGCCATTGGCAGAGAGGGTAGAGTTCATAAAGCAGGGAAGGTGGTGTCCAGGGTTAGTTGCAATACCCATGATGCAGATCACAAGAGTTTTCTTTGTAGGAATTGAAGTGTTCCTGTAAATATGAGTAGGAACACCCTGCCTGGAGATGGGAGGCCGGGGGGAGGGGGGGGGGCAGGGGAAAGGCAAGGAGAGCATTAGCAGAAAATGACAATAATAGTACCCAACAGATTGGCTATCCATTTCCAAGAAGTTCAGCACTCACAAATAAAGGAGATTCCATTCCATCTGAAACTAGGCTCCTGTGGCACCATATCAATGACTGGTACTCATGTACCAGTGTGCTTCGTTCTCAACACAAATGGTACCATAGATTTAAAGTTTACCAAAGTAGGTGCTGATGTTGTCTGATGCTTTGGTTTGCATGGTGACAAGACTCACTAGGGAGGTACCAATAATAGAGCTGTGCTTGACGGAAACAATCTGGAGGAGTTTTTATCCATACCCTACTTGTTGTGTGTAAATGGTACGAGGGTTGGCCAGAGCTGTGTTTGTCTTTAGAGCTCCAGAACATTCCAGCCCTGCCAGTACTGGAGCAGTCTTTTGCCTCTATGGAACTGAGCTCAGAGGTTCAGCCTTCTGAGACTGTCATTCAAGTGGCGAAATGAGGCCTTTTGGAAATAGGCTCCTTATGACTAGAGTTTATTGATAATGAAAAAATCTCAAATTCAGGATTCAAGATGCACAAGCACCTGAAGTGGAGCATCCCCAGAGGTACTACTTAAAGAAGAATTAAAATATTTATTGACATCTTGTCCTTTACTGAGCTCTCAATACCACACATGTTTTGCAGGGTCTAAGTTCTGCACAACCATTAACCAATTAATAAACTATGCTGAAAAATGATTATTGTTATAGTTATGTTTCCATGCAACTTACATGACATTTTTAATTCTGCAAAGTATAAATCATTTAGAATTTAGATATAGAACCTGAACTTTCTGTTGCCTGAAGAGATGCCTAATGTACCTTATCCTAGTGTTGCCACAGACATTTTTCTATATGGCACTGACATTCCTGTCTGTATTCATGGCTGACTGCTGATTTATATATTTAGTTCTTTCACATACTCTGCTAGACTTCTTTCCAGAAACCCAGCAAGATGGAAGAGAAAAGGGCATTACTACTCAGTTTCCTGTTCGCATTACATGAGACTGTTCTTGATGTGCAAACCAACTAAACATTTATTATCTTAAATTAGTTCAGCATGACTGTGCCCTCTATAACACATAATATTGCTACAGGACACACTCTGGTAAAAAATTAGAATAAGAAATAAGGTCTTCTAGATTGCCTTTAAACACATTTATTCACCCAAGAATCATTTTGTTGCAGTTCGGATTCCCCTCCCCCTCAATCAATTTAAAATCCATTGGAGATGATAATATGAATTATCTCATATTTCACCAAAGTTAGTTTGCTATCATTTCAGAATAAAGTGTACTTGCACAGTCAGGCAAAAAATAGAATAACTGTGGTGGTATTGTATATGGTATAAAGTAAATGAAGACATGTCAAACTGCCACAAAAGAGCCCTTAAAAATAATTTGGAGATGTTTACACAACTATCACATAGCAATCACACCTATTTTTTGAATGAAACTTCCCATTTTCCTGCTCACTATCAATTAACAGTAGCAAATTTAAAGAAATTTAGCAAAGTCATTTTAACATCATAGCATACTCCTATCAATAATGAATGAATGTTGTAATGAGTAAGTATCAGTTTATACCAATATAACTCTATTGACAACAGTGTGGTTAAAGTGGTAGAGAGAGTTTGCGGAGTAAAGAATCAGACCTTCTATTCCCAGTTCAATCCAAAACTTCACTCTTATTCATAAAAAGAATTTTGAAAAGTCAGGAATTTTAAAAATGCCCCCGATGTGTAGCTAATCTAAGGGTTTGCATCAACATACTGACATTTATCTTTGTATTTGAATGCAATTTTATTCCATGAGACCTTAAATATTGTCTCTACAAATATTTCATACAATGTTAGCTTTTATCTAAAATATACATATTTCTGTATTATATATCTGTTCATTTATACCGTTTGCAATAGTTTAAATTTAAATTAAATTCTTTGTTGATTTTAGTTTTTCTACTGAGAAAATCCCCACACTTTGAATTTTTAATAAAAAGCATTGCTACGAAACAAAGCAAAAATATCTGATTATGTAAGTAGAAAAGAGGTTTCTCCACATAGTGTTGCTGTGAGAAGTGATTTCAGACTAGGAATGTCAAACCATCTCAAAATTATAGTGATATCTTATGGGGAGTATTTTGTTATGATTAACTTGCCATTTTTTAGCAACAGTTGGCAGCACATATTTAGGTTCCAATAAAACATATGCTGGTTCCTGGAATTTCTAATTTCTAATCCCAAATTCTGTGGAAACTAAATTTACAGCCAGTACTCGTCTATGAGATAGCAAAAAGTTATGCAGCAAGGATATTCTCTTGAGGTAAAATGTTTAAAATAAACCCAGAATAAATAAATCAATGCATCACTTTCTTCACCTATTCTGTACTTAGTGGGCTAAATTCTGCTCAGTCACAACACAACCTTACTACCTACATTACCCAACCCTCGACTCATGGAGAGTTAACACTTCCATCATCATATGAGAAGTTTATTGCTTGAGTTCACCAGCAATGAAGACTTCCAGTTGATCAGCCTTTATTGTCCTCTTCATATGGAGAGGAGGATGAAGGACCTATTTTAGAGCTCCTTCGAATTTGTGACCCTGTGCACTATGGAAATTGACCCCATCTTCATTCAAATATAGCCTGCCTGCCCACCCACCATGACAAGGCTTGGCTGATTCAAATTTGGGTGATGCTGCAACCCAGCTTTGGGTTTCCTCCAGATGACAGTTCTGTGCCTCATGAAGAGGGTCTGTTCTGCAAAGCATCCCCATCTCATGCGTACCTTACTCAGACTCCCTGAATGGCCCTTCCACCCCACAAATATCTGACCAGCCCATCACTTATCCTGACAGCTGACACCAGTGTTCCAGCACCACTGATATATATTCCACACACTTGAGTTTCCAACATCCCCCCACTGCCCATCCCACTGCCTCTTCCAGTCCCTCCCCACTCCCAGAACTTACATAGCATGGGTCAAATCTGAGTAAGAGCTAGAGCCAGACTTCATTGCCACTCATTCAAATTTGACCTAAAAACTCCTCCACCAACATAGTAGAGAGGGGAGCAGCTGAACCAACTTTGAGTGACTGGCACTATTGAATGGCTGGCAACATCATTCAGGTTTGCTTTGTTGCAACATCATCCATCCAGATCCATTGGTCACAGGACCCCTTGATATGGGGACCTTGTGCAAGTGCAAATCGGTTA